TGTATTGTTGGTGTGAAGTGATATGGTACATGCTAATTACACTGTAAAGAGCTATTAATAAATCATCTGCTCATATCAACTAGACGTACCACCACCAGACATCTCAGTACCTACAGTACTTTCATACTATTTAGTCCTACATACGTCATTGTAAATTTCTCTCATTTCATTATATCATTTCTCACCAAATCATCTTTTTTTATAATAATGATTCATAATGTTTCCATAGTGATTAGCATTTGAAGAAATACAATTTTTTACTATTACAAGGGCGCACATGACTTTATCAACAGCTTGCCCTTTATTGAGTAATCATTGATGCGGAAATTGTTGAAAACATCTCTCTTCAGATGGGCATTACCACATCGTTACGATTCTTCTGAGAACGCTGTGAAATCAAAAATCTACGCATTATGCGAAATTCAGGGTATATCATCACTTTGACAGAAAACGTCCAAAATACGTCCCCCCCCCCTTCCTCTCCACAAAGAGACTTCTCAACGATAATGTGCGTTTGCGGACTATTTAGACAACATGATTCTGTATAACTCAATTAACACTGTAGATAAACGAGCAAATTGTGCGGAAGGGGCGCAGATCTGCTTAGAGGGGGAGGGGGCATTCTTGCGCTGCCTCCCATTGTCGTGCAAGCAATCGAGAAAAGTAAAAATCTAATAAAAATAATGACAATAATAATGTGATAAAATAGCAAAATCTTGTGAATGCATGAAGTGATATCAGTCAAGTTTTTAGAAACTACTTGTCAAATCTTACAAAGAATACCTACCGGCTTTGTAAACCAATTATTATGACAATCACTAATGGTTATGACAATGGGAAGTAGAGGAAGTGCAAAATGCCACCCAAAATCCATCCCCTCCCCCAGCCGAACTGCGCCCGTGAACGCTATCCCTTTGTTGACACGAATTAGCGTAACAACCCATCGGCTCACCGTAATCTTCCTAAACTCTACTAACTCCATTTAAAGCTTTCAAATGAGGCGGAGGTCGGGTAGTGGCAAGTGGGACGCTTACCCACGACTAGATGTCAAATCGTGGATCGGCTCCCACCCCGGCCAAACAAGCCCTCTCATCTCTAGGGACGGGAATTGATACCAGATACGTCTAAGAGGGTGGGATTACTTACCTCTACGTCGGTTGGCCCCGTCTGTCTTTGCGCAGGCCATATCGCATTAAATGCGGTTCCAGATGGGAGTAGAATGCGTGCCGCACCCCAAGAAGGGATTGACCAATGGCGAAGACTTCTCCCTTTAGCAAGGAGCTTCTTTAACTTCTTAAATCATTTAGGTCCTTCTTAAAACGCAGCATCAACAACTTCAAAAGGTGGTAGCAAGTCTCGTTGAACCTATACGCACCAATCAGAATACTAATGACAGCGCACAGCTTAATTAATGCTCTTGACGGGATAATTCACGCCAAATTAATCCGAGCCACACTGGGTATTCATAGCATGTGTGTGTATGTCTCTGCCTAAACGGGCGGCTCATGTGGTCTGCAATTGTGATCCGACTTGTTACAAGTGTAATTTTTGTTGTATACAACTTGCACCTAACAAGTATACAATCATGTCGATATACGAGTTGAAACACCCTTCATAAAGTGCGCATGGAGCGCGATTTTCCCACACTCATTACCGTGTGCGTTTATGTCTGAGTGTATCGCGTCGCAACTCTGTTATACTATAGTTTATAATGTCATGATTTTACTTTGTAATGTTTAAGTTGTAACTCTTCCTGTATCCGTTTGCCGATTTAATTGGTCCATAACGGATGAGTTAGCAGACATCGTCGAATTTTTATCACATCACATACGTGCTCTTCGTCGCTCTGATAGCTCA